AGAGGTATTCCTAAATTTTACCTGTCAGTAAAGAGAGGTATTCCTAAATTTTACCCGTCGGTACAGAGAGGTATTCCTAAATTTTACCTGTCGGTACAGAGAGATATTCCTAACTTTTACCTGTCAGTATGGAAAGGTATTCTTAAATTTTACCTGTCAGTACAGAGAGGTATTCCTAAATTTTACCTGTCAGTACGAAGAGGTATTCCTAAAGTTGTACCTGTCGGTACAGAGAGGTATTCCTAACTTTTACCTGTCAGTACGGAAAGGTATTCCTAAATTTTACCTGTCAGTACAGAGAGGTATTCCTAAATTTTACCTGTCAGTACGGAGAGGTATTCCTAAATTTTACCTGTCGGTACAGAGAGGTATTCCTAAATTTTACCTTCGGTACAGAGAGGTATTTCTAAGTTGTACCTGTCGGTACAGAGTGGTATTCCTAAATTTTACCTGTCAGTACAGAGTGGTATTCCTAAATTTTACCTGTCGGTTCAGAGTGGTATTCGTAAGTTGTACCTCGTGAACCTGTCAGTAAGATGGTATTATTGAAATATAGTAACACAAGTGAACATAGGATATGTTTGTTTGTAATTAAGCACAAAGCTTTGCGGGAAATTCTAACCAAATGAAATCATCACTCCCAGTACGTAAATTGACTTTTGAGGTTATAAATATCGTACACTTTTCTACAGGAAAAATACTCCTAAAGAAGGCAACCTGGAGTTACTGAAACTTGTCAGGTCTTCCATGCTTTAATACCTTAATTTATTTGAGCATAAAGGAAGTAGTTTTCTTTTATGTCGACACAAAGCTGGAATTACATCTCAAAAATTCTTTTTTTTCTTTTTACAGCTTACAAGTAATCATTTACGCCATCTGGTGTGGTTTAACTTCTACTCAGAAGTTTAATGATAAATAAATTTAGAAATGACGTATCTAAAGTACGAGATTTCTCTTTAATTACTTAAGCGCAGCTGCTTTGATCTGCGTTATTTGCTGCCAGTAAACAAAGAAGAACACTGACTAATGGAGTATCTTGTTAAAATATAATATAGAAATGTTTTCTTTTGTATATAACTAAATTAATATGTCTAATATGTGTGCGCACCCAAATCACGAAACACATTTCCTTCTATTTCTAATATCTGACTTTTTCCAGTAACACTCTTCACCAGTGAATGAGACTTTGACATAACATTTCATTTTGCATTTCTTATTGACGGCATACAAAGAGGTTTGAGGCCAAATATGCATATAAATTAAACTTTCACTTTATTCTTTATAGGTTGATTAACTTTTATGAATACTAGGTAGCAGCACTAAATAGGGGCAAAGCATGTTCGATTGGCATGTCTGTGCAAACTCGGGTCTCGGTGTTACAACAGTAAGATAAAATAAAAAAACGCTAAACCATAAGCCAAACACACCATCCTCCATATTTTTTAATGATATTAAAAACGACTTATTTAACCATGAGATGCCATTAATGTTTCCATTCTTGAGGTCTTACGCCATATGAAAATTTCTGTTATCTTCATGAATAAGTTAAATCACATCGAAACGAAAAGCCCTTGAGATTGACGATACTATAATGTATAAAGTGTAAGGTTACCTAAGATAAGGAATCGAACTTTAAAGTAACTTTGATCATAATTTTTACAGCGTATTACTTATCAGGAAGCTTGATTTTTTTCATATTATTTATTATATTAGGCCAAGTCTTAGTTTTAACTTAACAGTTGTTCATCGTCTACCTGTAGTTAGGGGATATGTTCAGAAGAAATCCGACTAGAATTGAATTGAAACTTGACGATCTTCAAGAATATGAAACGTTAAAGAAAGAGATAGAAGAAAGAAAGCCACTGAGCGTGCAACAAGGAATGGGCACGAGTCCGGTCATTAGTGGTGAGCCATCGGCTATTGCTGGCCAGAGTCAAAAATCCAAACAAACTATTATCCACGAAAGAATTGGTTATAGACCACAGCCGCGAATATCAAATTAACTACTGAACTTTTTGGGTAAGCTAACAGTAACATCAAATATTTTAAGCCGGAATCTATCGCAAAAGTAATATGATGATATTGTTCCTGAATTTGAATCTGAAAATAAGAGTAACGTCCAAGTTTCACTAACTTAAATTTCACTATCATTTGTTCTGTCTATGAATTTATGTTGATTGTTCCTTTCCGACCAGAAAAAGATAATCCCCCCCCCCCAATAATGTGAATATTAATATCGGTGTTTGTACTTTTATTATTAGACATTACACATTCCAGGGGGGTCTAATTCCTAAAATCTTGCATAAAATTCATGTTCATTATATTTTTACCTGTAATCATCAATCAATGCTGACACTGGACTTGAAGAATGAACATGAAAGTGTTTAGCTTGTAAAGTAGTGTTTATATATTATCACTTGTCATTCGTCCTAATGTAACATAACATGAAACTTACTTGTAAACCTTTTCAACTGAATACTTCACCTTATGAAACCAAATTTTAGTTCTTTTTATGAAGAGTTCTTCAAAAACACAGTTCAGAATACTAAGTCTCGTTCGTTCCGACTCTTGCCACTCATCGGATATCTGTAGCCTAACAACAATATTTCACCAGGAAAAACTTACATGTGTACACATGTTTAAATTGGATGTCAAGTGAAAGATTCGTAAAAAAAACATTTAACAAAATTAGATTATTAAGTTGAAGTTTGCAATTAAAAAAGGTTTAGAGGTACTTTTTTTATGTTGCATTGGAAAGAAAGAGGGCATGAATCTTGTGCTACCTCCATACCACTAGATTTTGGCTTCCATGTTTCCTTATCACCTCAACACTCTGAATTAATTCTTTTAGCATCAATCCAAAAGGTATTAATACTTGAATCAATATTACGTTAATTTTAATACTTCTGTTTTATAGTATTGGCAAATTTAATTTTTTTTTAAATTAAACACTTGTTTAATATATTCAAACAGTATAAACAGGGAAAAAATTCTATTTACTTCAATAAACATGATTTTTATTTTCATGTTTATCATTAAATCCTAGCCACTTGTTTAAATTCAAAAAAATTACTTTAATAGTTTCACGTATCAAGTCATGACTAACAATGTAAACTTTGACTCATCTGTTTCACTAGTCTTCTTAGGTCCACATGTTAACTCTGACTCACCCATTTCATCAGCCTTCATAGGTCCACATGTTAACTTTGACTCACCCGTTTCATCAGCCTTCTTAGGTCCACATGTTAACTTTGACTCATCTGTTTCATCAGCCTTCTTAGGTCTACATGTAAACTCTGACTCATCTGTTTCATCAGCCTTCTTAGGTCCACATGTTAACTTTGACTCGCCTGTTTTATCAGCCTTCTTAGGTCTACATGTAAACTCTGACTCATCTGTTTCATCAGCCTTCTTAGGTCCACATGTTAACTTTGACTCATCTGTTTCATCAGCCTTCTTAGGTCTACATGTAAACTCTGACTCATCTGTTTCATCAGCCTTCTTAGGTCCACATGTTAACTTTGACTCATCTGTTTCATCAGCCTTCTTAGGTCTACATGTAAACTCTGACTCATCTGTTTGATCAGCCTTCTTAGGTCCACATGTTAACTTTGACTCATCTGTTTGATCAGCCTTCTTAGGTCCACATGTTAACTTTGACTCACCTGTTTTATCAGCCTTCTTAGGTCTACCTACTTTTATCACCACTTCCAGTATAAAAGTTTCACATAAAACATGGCAACTACTGAATGACAAGTTTGTTGCAGCATTCCCCTGGTTTTGAAGTTACTGAATAACATATATTTGTGTACCTATTTTAGTATACTGATTTTTTAGGCTCATGTTTTAATGTCTACTGTCAGTAGATATACAGACAACCCACCTTTATTTTTCACTATTGTTTTAATGTCTGTACTGTCAGTAGATATACAGACAACCCACCTTTATTTTTCACTCTTGTTTTAATGTCTACTGTCAGTAGATATACAGACAACCCACCTTTATTGTTCACTCTTGTTTTAATGTCTACTGTCAGTAGATATACAGACATCCCACCTTTATTGTTCACTATTGTTTTAATGTCTACTGTCAGTAGATATACAGACACCCCACCTTTATTTTTCACTATTGTTTTAATGTCTACTATCAGTAGATATACCGACAACCTACCTATATTGTTCAGTCTTATTTTAATTATTGTTCTGTCAATAGTTTTTCACTTGTTTTTGATAATCGGGGATGTACAACAACAAAAGGTTTTAAAAATATTATCAAGTGTACTGTTTAATAATCATAATACCAGCCAATGTAAGATGGTTTTTATGAAAAATTAATTAAAATCCTTTTGACCAGAGTAATTCATTCTTAAAAAATGTGTGTTTACATGTAGAGATTCATAATAACATTGTCAATTTTTGGATGTCTATGTTTCCTTTATAGTATTACACTAGTTAATTACCAGTAATAAGTATGATGGTAGTTTGTTATTTAACAACTAAATATTTTTTGTGTGATATTATTTACTGTATTAAACTAATAATCATATCATAAAGAAGTACTTAAAATAATAATTTTCTGTCAACAGATGGTAGCATTTGCTGCCGGAAGTAACAAACTGAATTAAATCTGAGAGAGTAATACACCTGTTAACTGTTAATGTGTAACTTTAATAAAGATATCCAGTGCCATTGTACTTGGTGTTTGGGTGTTAGGCACTATAGGTGACATGTTGCTTTTTTCATGTTAGCTTAGTTAGTCTGAAATAATGTTACATAAGCAAGTACCTATTTTGATACAAAATGTAAATGTTATGGCTGAAAATACAGGTTTTTATAAGGTGTGTATTTAAAAATGTTTTTTTTCAAAGACTAGCACAACCACTAGGTTGTAACAGTAAGTGTATGTTATACAAGTTAAATAAAGCTAATAACTTTTTTTTTTAAATCTCAAACACTTGTACTTTAGCAATATAGTAACTAGACCTAATATTAGGCTTAGTTCAAACACTTGTACTCTAGCGATATAGTAACTAGACCTAATATTAGGCTTAGTTCAAACACTTGTACTCTAGCGATATAGTAACTAGACCTAATATTAGGCTTAGTTCAAACACTTGTACTCTAGCGATATTATAACTAGACCTAATATTAGGCTTAGGTTTCAAAGTGAATGATTGAGTTTTAATCAAAAGTCATTTTATGGTACAGAAAAAACAAATACATATCAGCATGCTGGAGTAGGTAAATACTGCTTAATGGCTTGTATTTTAAACAAATTTTGTTGCATATTTTTACATTTGCCAGAATGATTGAAATTTACGTGCATGTTAGTTCGAGCTGGGTGATTAACTCAATGTAATTGATGACCAATCAATATAGATTTAATGTAATATGAAAAACTGGTTGAAAATAATTTTTCAATGATTTGTCTTAATTACTTTCAATGTTCAACGTAATCGATCGGTGTCGTGACTGAAGAAATTGGTGTTTTCGATCGTTACTGTTTGACTATTCCAACTATCAAAATCTCGTGAGAATAACTGCTCAACGAGTCGGACCGTTATTCGATTATCAACTTCCACTATTTCCTCGGCTCCTACGTCAGTATGATATTTGAAAACTTAAAGCCCAATGAATATCAGGTCATTCTCCTAACATCTATGATACAATTCTGGTACATAGGATATGCTTTGTCTACACCCTAGTGTACAGAAAAGGTACAAGAGACAGGAATTTTGAACATTTAAGATTGTTCTATGATTGTATTACATGAACGGTGTGTTGGATATCAGATGGGGTAATAGTAATTAAACTGTATTACAAGCATATAATGTTAGTAATCAAACTGTATTACAAGCATATAATGTTAGTAATCAAACTGTATTACAAGCATATAATGTTAGTAATCAAACTGTATCACGAGCATATAATGTTAGTAATCAAACTGTATTACAAGCATATAATGTTAGTAATCAAACTGTATTACAAGCATATAATGTTAGTAATTAAACTGTATTACAAGCATATAATGTTAGTAATCAAACTGTATTACAAGCATATAATGTTAGTAATTAAACTGTATTACAAGCATATAATGTTAGTAATTAAACTGTATTACAAGCATATAATGTTAGTAATTAAACTGTATTACAAGCATATAATGTTAGTAATCAAACTGTATTACAAGCATATAATGTTAGTAATCAAACTGTATTACAAGCATATAATGTTAGTAATCAAACTGTATTACAAGCATATAATGTTAGTAATCAAACTGTATTACAAGCATATAATGTTAGTAATCAAACTGTATTACAAGCATATAATGTTAGTAATCAAACTGTATTACAAGCATATAATGCTAGTAATCAAACTGTAATTGATAACTTGCATACTTGTTATCTTATGAAAAGTTAAGATCAATTCACAACCATTTAATCTGACAAATGTATTTTTAGTCAGAATATTACAGTATGCTTATTGTTTGCCATTGTACAATGGTATTTAATAACATGATTATAATTTTTATTAATTTATCTGTAAAATAGCATGAGGTTTGTGAGCTGTTTACTATGTTGTTTTTTATTGTTTTGCACACCAGGGAACTTACAGATGTAGAGGACATAAGATGACTGACCTTCAGAGTTGTAGAGAAACAGGGAAAACCACCAAGACTTGTGAAGATAATCCTTGGATGGTTATTGGTTGACAGAGATCGTTCCTTACCTAAGTACTCTGTAACTATTCTAATCAGGTCTACATAGATACGATTGTATATATATATATATATATTCCATATTGATTTTTATTCCAAGTGCAAAAAATCATTCAGAAGTCTGATTGTTTATCAGATTGAAAAAAAAAATCCTTTGAATCTCCATCAATATACGTTTCAGTAGTTTGATCCTTCTTTATAAAAAATTTTTCATAATTGATTTTCAAAAATATTTTGACCTTCTTCAAATAGTTTTAACCCATGTTCAAATTAAGCATTTATTCCTTTAAAAAAATTGAGGATTGATTTCTTAGATTCAAATCGTTATGTGTTTGGTTTTCATCAAAACAAAGCCTCGACCTTAAATTTTTTTGACGTGAGAATCCCTAGTGATTCTGGTTTTCACATTTTTGTAAATTAATATTGAAACTTTCTCGAAGTTGATGCTGACTAGCTTTGAAATTCGGTTTTTATTCTTAACTTTAATGATGTTTAATTATTTGGTTCCTCACCAGGATAACTTTTAATTTTGTCTGTTTTGTAACCAAGTGAACACGAGTTATTTTTAAAACGTATTACACCATTTCACATTGAAGAGATCTCTAATTGGTTAACTTGTAACAAAACGTCTCATTTTATTTAAAATATAAACCTCGTAATCTGATTTAAGTTGACAATCTAAAATCAACTGAGTTATTGTACTTCCGAGATGTGTGATTATCGTTTCATTTTGAATAGACTGAACACTAACATTTCAAGAGTTTTCTGATTCAAAGTTTTTAGTTGCTTTGCTGAACATTTCTGGTCAGTTCAAAGTCCTTTTTTTTAAAATAGTAATTCATAACTATGACCTGGTGTCCAAATCTCAAGTTATCATTTAATGATTACTTTATTTTCAGTGTACCATTCTTGTCTACGACAATATTTTGATATAAACCATTTTTATATTAATTTATAAGTATTTTCATATTTACAGGTGACGAAAGGAGAATACATAAACCTTTATGATTTTGTCAAAAATACCACCCATTAAATCAGAGTAAAATAAATCATAAAGAAATAATTCACTTAGCTTGAAATGTTAGCATAATATAGAAAATATTTACAGTGTATAGGTTACTGACGAAATAAAATATTGATTTATGTAATGTGTCATTCTCTATTTGTACGTACTTTAAACTGTTTCCAATTTGTTCCAGTTTACTGTTGTTTGTTTTTTTCCACAGTACAATCCTCTGAATTATTTTGGACATTTTGTTTGTCTTTTTTCACTGTGTTTATATACTTATTTTGCAGTTTTATTTAAGAATCTTGTTACAACTTTGCATTAAATTCAACAGTATATTCATTATTTATAAACTTCTACGTTTCTTTCTCGGTAAAGTAGCACTCAATGTTTCTGTTTTCAGTCTTACTGACGTTTGTTATTTATAAACTGGTCCTACGTAAGGATGGGAAATTGAAAAGATTTTAAGCAAAATATAACTGCTATTTGACATTATACTTAAAAAAAATTAAAACTGGAATAAGAGAGAATGCCATGCCAAAACTCCATTACTTTGGAGTGAGGATTAGGCCCGAACGAAACGTTTAAAACTTTGGTCTCTCGAGTGTGTGTGAGGCATAACGATCTTCAACTTATTCGTACAAAACATTCTGGATTTGTTTATTACAATAAGGTTGAAACGAGTTCTCAGGACTATATAATGAACAACAGAGATTAACTAAATAATGTACAGTGGACGAATCGTACTATTTACCACCTTTAGCGAGTGGACCTTCATTACGTAACGTACTAACTACTATGGAACTGTAACGCTTGGTTTTTACTTGTAGAATGTTATAACCTATAGGAATTAAAAAATATATATATTAAAATCACGTCATACAAAGACCTGAAAGTTTTTCAGCATGAATTTGTAAAGCCGTTTAGTTTGGTATTTTTGAAATCAATTTTTTGGGTTGAATTGTTTCGCGATTTTTTTGTACTTTCATATTATAAACAAAATATTTATAGCACATAAGCGTATTGCTGGGACAAGTATGTAAAACAAAATAGG